AGCTGCCCTGGGAATATGTAGACTTGCTAAGAGTCCTGGTTTTGCTGCTACTCAATCAGCTGTTTGGACTTGAACCTTGATTTGTTTCCTCATCTCTCAAGGGAGAATAATAGCACCTCCTTCACTGGGTTGGCGTGAAAGCGAAGCAAGATAGCAATTGTAAAAAGATTTTGAAAAGTTGTTATTTTTTTAATTATGTTGCTAAGGTCTAAAAGAAATAATTAGGTTGAGAATCTTTTGCAGAAAAAAATATTAAACTGAAAAACACCTCACAAAACCCAGCCCTAGTTGGCGTAAGTTTTATTTCCTTAATTTTCGAATGAGAACATTCTGAGGGACTTGTAGGGACGAGGATGAGATCAGACCTCCTCATCCTTTTCATATCCTTTCCTCTCCTCCCCAATAGTTCAAGCACCAACCAAAAGGATTGGGAGTAGCTGAGGGTAGGGTAAGCGGAGGAAGCTTTAAGGAAGGCGAGGAAAGCCTGGGATGGGGTTGGGGGGAGGGTGCTCGCTGAGGAGGAGGAGAGAAGCGATAGTCGAAGAGATGCGACAAGGAAGAGTTACAGCGAAGCGAAAGACACCTTTTTCCCCAGTGGGGTTCGGGCAGACACTTACTGCTAGTAAACTCCAGCGAAGAGCTGACTAGTTACCATAGCGACCGCGTCCCGGTGGGCGGAGCGGCGTTTCCGATCGGTGCCTCGGCTACAGCGCCTCGACTAGAAACGCTTACACGTCAGAAATGACTTCCGGCGGAAGAAGCAGCCGCTTCCGAGTTCTGGCCGACCGCAGGGAAGAACAGGGCACCGGTGGCTGTGTATAGCTTGGTAGGTCTGATAGCATATAAAGTCCGGAGAGGGTACCCACCAATGACAGGAAGAGCCAGCTGTGAATATAGAGGATTCCCAAGTCCCAGTCTTGAGGAGGACCCGGCTGTCTCGTTAGGTGTATAGTTGTGGGAAGAAGTTGCTTGGTTTCTGGGGTTCCTAATGGTTTCTTTTCTGTAGCGTGGAGGACTCGGTCATCCTCGAGTAGAGTTTTGGAGGCTACTTCTTTGCGAGGTCTGAAATCTTCTCCAGTAACAGGGTGATTCCTGTTCTTATCGGCCCGTGCTGACGTTATTTCGCCTGTTATCCTTTCCAGGTAATCTAGTAGAAAAGAAGTAAACCGAAAAAACTTAGAAGGAATGTCCCCAAATTCATTTTAATTCTTTGATGGTCTGTTTAATTTTTTTTACTCGTTTTCATTTTGTAAATATTTATGAAGCTCCTCTAGTGTGTTTAGTAAGTGCTTACTTGTGTGCCAATTTTTCCTTAAGACTAGTAGAAATAACTTCTTAGAGGTTCACATACCACCTGAGTCCATTATCAAATTTCTTTTTTGATGCTGTTGTTTATTCATTAATTTAAGATACAAGGACATACCGTGAAATAGCCAACAATTTTTTCATACTTATCTGTATACTTATACGTGGAATTCTTGGGGCTTTTTAAAGGAAAATATATGCTTCCTCAGATTTGCATTATCATAATTTACTCAAGTAAATATTGAAGAATTTAGAAAAGCAGTACTTGATTTTTTTTTAGATACATGCAAACTGTAATTAATTGTTATTAATATTTCTATTCAGCTGATCTGAGAAGGCCCACTTCTTGTTGAATGGATGATGGCAGTTGAGCAGATACCAAAAAAGGATTGGTACAGCATTCTGGGGGCAGACCCATCTGCAAATGTGTCAGACCTAAAACAAAAGTATCAAAAACTCATATTGATGGTAAGTCTTTTTTGTTAGACTAGAAAAAAATGTTTTTAAATGTGATCAGAAAGTTAGGTTTCCAAAAAATATATGATATCAATGGCAGGAATGAAAGTACTAATTTAATTTAATTGAAAGTTTCAGTAATATTGCAGAAAAACTTTATTTGAGGTGGGACAACATGAAGGTTAGGAGCAGGAGATCTGAGTCAGGCTGATTGAGTTAGAATCCTGACTTCTACCACTATCTGTGAGAACTTGGATAAATTACTTTCTCCTGTATGTGCCTCAGGGAAAATTAAATAAATACACCTGAAATGCTTAGGAGTACTGTTACAAAATGAACAGCATCCAGTAGCCACATGTGGCTACTGAGCATTTGAAATGTGACTAGTATGAATTGAGATTTGCTGTTAAGTGTAATATATACGTTAGATTTTGAAGGCTTAGTACAAAAAAAAGAGTTTAATCTAAAATTTTTTCATGTTAATTACATGTTGAAATGATAATATTTTGGATATACTGGCTATTTTGTGTATTATATACATAATGTCTGCATGTATTTGCATATATTATCAAAATAGTTTCTCTTTCTGAACTGTTACATTCATTTTTTCAATCTACATTGTGATGTTTCTTAAGGCAATGTCAGTAACTCTATAATGGTGTCTAGTTAGCTTACGAAAAGAGTAAAGAACCATTATTTATATAGCATTTGTTGTTTCTCTAGTTTATAGCAAATACATTGATGATACTTTGCCAAAACTGTTACTGTTCATTGTGAGAGACATTAGATATTTCACCATTAGGAATGTACTAATGTTCCCGCCTTAGTTAATAAGCTGAACAAAATGACTTTAAGGTATATTCTGTCTCAGAATTTTTAAGATTTCTCTCAGTAAAATCAAGTAAATTTTTTTGAAAATTTTCCTGATATTAAGTCATCCTTGTACCTCAGTTAATTGGGAGATGAGGCTGGAGAAGCAGACTGAGTCTCGATCATGCAGGTCCTTATAGGCCATGTTGGCCTTCATCTGGATAATGAGAAGCCATCTGCACAAACATCAAAGCAGATAAACCATTTTATGCAGCGCTAGCAATGTATCAGAGAGTTTCAGGTGCTCTACCTCTTTGCCAACATTTGATGCTATTAGTCTCTTCTATTTCAGCTGCTGGAGTTTCTCAATTTTGCCACCGTTGACATTTTGGGCAGGATAATTCTTTGTTATGTGGGCTGTTCTGTGCCTTGTAAGATGTGTAGCAGCATCCTTATATGCCAGTAACAACCAAAAATGTGTCTTTCGTGTCAAAATTGTGACATCCCATTGAGAATCACTACTACTCTACTGTGTTTATAGGTGATATCTCATGGGATTTTTTTTTTCCTGTGATGACTAATGATGTTGAGCCCTTTTTAATGTGAATATTAGTCATTTGTATACTTTTGTGAAGTGTCTTTTTTTTTTTTTTTTTGGAGACAGAGTCTCACTGTGTTGCCAGGATTAGAGTGCCGTGGTGTCAGCCTAGCTCACAGCAACCTCAAACTCCTGGGCTCAAGCAATCCTACTGCCTCAGCCTCCCAAGTAGCTGGGACTACAGGCGTGCACGACCATGCCCGGCTAATTTTTTCTATATATTTTTAGTTGTCCAATTAATTTCTTTCTATTTTTAGTAGAGACGGGGTCTTGGTCTTGCTCAGGCTGGTTTCGAACTCCTGAGCTCAAGCAATCCGCCTGCCTCGGCCTCCCAGAGTGCTAGGATTACAGGCGTGAGCCACTGCGCCCAGCCTGTGAAGTGTCTTTTTAAAAAAAATTAAATATATTCTTGATCCTGTGTATATTTTGTGTATATTTTCTCCTAGTCTGTCGCTTACCAGGTCATTTTCTTAATGGTGTTTTTTTTGGTTTTTTTTTTGATGCACAGAGTTTCTTGTTTTGGTGAAATATAATTTATCAAATTTTTGTTTTAGTGCTTTCTGTGTCTTCTCTAAGGTCATGAGAATATTATTCTATGTTTTCTTCTAGAAGCTTTATAGTTTGTTTTTACCTTTAGACTTATGATTTTTGTGTATAGTGTGAGATGGTAGGTCATATTTTTATTTTTCCTCAATGTGTATGTATATTCAATCGTCCCAGCATTATTTGTTGAAAACATTTTCCCTTTTCCATTGGATTGTCTTAGCAATATGGGTCTTAGCAATATGAGCTTAATTTTGTTTGATATATTTGTTTATCCTTTTACTCATACTTCCATCTTGATTACTGTAGGTTTATAGTTAGTCTCAAAATCATGTAAAGTAAGTTCTCTAACTTTATCCTTCTTTTCAAGTTAATTTTGATTATTCCAGTTTGCTTGTATTTCCATAGGAATTTTAGAATCAACTTGTAAATTTATGCCAAAAAAAAAAAATCTTGCTTGAGTTTTAATTGGGATTGCATTAATATATATCCATTTTGGTAAAGTGGACATCTTAAAAATATTGAGTCTTCAAATCCATAGCCATACATCTTTCTACTTTCTTAAGCTATCTTTAATTATCCTCAGCAATATTGTATAATTTTCAGTGTGGAGATCTTATACATCTTTTTTTTTTTTTTTTTGATTTCTAGTTACTTAATGTTTTTACTTTTATTGAGAATGGTATTTTTGTTAAATTTCATTTTCTGGTTGATTGACAGTGTATAGAATTATAGATTATTTTTATATACTGGTCTTGTATCCCACAATCTTGGTAAATTTACTTTTTAATTCTAGTAGCTGTTTTTTTTAGATTTTGTAGACACAATTATGTCATTTGCAAATAAAGAGAGCTTTAATTCTGTCTTTCCAATCTGTATGTCCTTTATTTCCTTAATGCACTAGGTAGGTGCTTCTATTAAAATATTCAATTGAAGTGTCAAGAGCAGAAATCCTTGCCTTGTTCCTAATTTTAGGGGGAAAACCTTCAATATTTTATCAGTAAGTATACTGTTAGCCATATGTTTTTAAAGATGCCCTTTGTCAGGTTGGAGAAATTCTTCTAATTTATACTCTGCTAAGAGTTTTTATTATAGGATACATGAATATTGAATTTTGTTAGATGCTTTTTGCATTTATTGAATTTTGCATTTATTGATCTTCCTCCCTTAATCTGTAAATGTGAATTACATAGATTTTTCTTAAGTCTAGATTGCATTCCTGGGTAAACAAACTTCACTTGTTCATAAAGTATTAGGCTTTTTATATGTTGTGGGATTCTGGTTGCTATTATTTTGTTAAGCATTTTTGTGTCTAGGTTCATGCTGTGTATTTGTCTGTAATTTTCTTATAAAGTTTGTGCCTAAGTTTAGTATCACAGTTATGCTGGCC